AGCAGAACTTTCTCCAAAAGCATGCCATAATTTTTGGACTGCATGCACAGCTTTTGTTCAGAGTTTAAACTAACACAGAATACAAGCTTGAATAACATAAGTTTGGGTACTCATTTTCAAGGCACTTGATATGCTATTCAACTTTTTTGCATATCAATATACACTTCAATACCTCTTGTTTTCTTTATAGGTAGAATTATAATTTTAGTGATAAAGTGATTTGCAAAAATACTCTTTCAGTTTGTATGGTTTTGGTTATCTGATATAATGTATATCATGTAATAATTACTTGTTATTGTGTATCCAACATGATGATAAAGTAATTATTTAAGTAGTAATAAATAAAATTAAAAATTATATGAGAGTATATTAATTATTCAATTGTTTTTTGTCTGAGTTCTAAACAATATTTTTTTAAATTTATTTTTATTTCTTTTAAAAAAGTAAAAGAAATCTTTTCCTGTAGTTATGTTGATATTGCACAATTTTTGTATTTTATGTATTGGAAAGCTTTATTTTTTATTTGAAATATGTTAACATTCTAAAATGCATTCCATTTCACATAGGCCTGAGGAAGATCTCGTATAGATTGAAAACATTTGATTATCATTAAACAGTACTGGAAACAAAAATAAGGCTCTAAGTTGATTGAGGTTTTTATTTGTATTACTTTCTAGTCTCATGTGTTGTGTAGTTTTTCTAGAGCTAAAGACTAAAAATGAAAATCATATTGTCTCTGTTTTATTTATCAATTAATATTAATAAAATATGTAATAATAACTGTTACCAAAAACCGTTAAATAGAAAATAATTGTCTTAATTTTAACTCTTAATAGAGTGAACAGTGATTTATTCTCTGTATAATAAAGACATATTGTGTCAACAGTGGCATCCTTTCTTGCATCACTGCCAAGTTAATACACATATACACAATATATCATCAGTTGGTGATCAAAACGTCATAACTGTATTTCCTAAAACTTTACAGAAGAGTTTAAAAAAACACGATTTCAATGGGGCAAAATTTTGAGTATGAGATTGGAAATTTTTGATTGTCAGAGAGAAGACTTAAAACACACACTTCACTTACAAAGTTTTGATAATATATAGAAATTGACTATAACCTCATTAATGCAAAAATGTGGTTTTGACCAATTATTGGAGATATATCACTGATTAGTGGTCAAAACCTCATATCTGATTAGCGTTAAATTTCTTATGTTAAAGCCAAATCAAAGCATTTGAAGAAAACATTTCTTGCTGTGGACTGCTATAGAGAAAATGAAATCATAGATATCTTCTGTAATTATTAAATATTTCAGTTTGATGGCCAAGGCAGTTAAGACATCAATCTGGGGGATTTAGCATCAAAATTGGGCAAGCAACCCAGGAATTTTTTCTTGTCCCAGATATCTGTGAAAATTCCTCACCACCCAGCTGGCCCCATTGTGGACCTGGCCAAACTCACAATGGGTATGAGAAAAAAGCAAAAAATGAAAAAAAAAAAAGATTATTTATTTATTTATTTCAATTGGAAGAATTTAGGATAGATACTTGTAATTACATTATACATAATGTAATAAAACTATTAAATCAATTTCTATATAAAAAATAAAAAGTTCCAGCCTGTTCCAATAAAAATTTTTAATTTTCTAATGTTTTCAGCTATCTATGCAACCATCATCAGGAATGAACATGGAATAGACTGGAACTTTTTATTTTTTACATTTATTCCAGTTAAGAAATTTTATTATTAAATTTCTATATACTCAGAAAATTTTTGAAAGGAAAAATATGCATGAGAGATTCACTACATTTGCTGAATATAACTGCAGTAAACAACAAAGGATTTTGACAAAATAAGGAAAGAAATAGTGAAACAAATTAACTAAATTTAAATAAATACAAAAAATTTTTAATTTTAAAATATTCAGTGCAAAATAATGCTAATAAAAAGAAGTTTTTTAATTATTACTGATATCTGTTTCACTTTCTAAATAATTACATTCATCAGTTGTATATCCACGATTTTAAGAATATAAATACTGACTACTGTAGGCAGATTTAAAAGGGACCAAGGCAGGCATTGTTTTTAAAGAATGTTACTCAATTACTTTAGATTACTTCAGTTATCTAATTGAAGTTATATAATATTTATTTTTATTTTAAAGTAACAAAACCAATTTTTTTTGGTATCCAGAAAGTACTTATGGTGCCATAGCACCATAAACACTTCCTTGATAATATCTTCATAGTATTGTTAATATATTTGTATCAATGCTTTGAAGTTTATGCTGTGGTGCAGAAGTCAAATGATAAAGTTCAAGATGAAGTAAAAATGTTGTTAGAAAGTTAAATATATTTTTAATGAAATTTTAATTTTATTAATATTTTAAATAGGACACAGATTTTAAGAATTTTTGGAACTGTTAAACTAAAAAAAACTAGACAAATATATTTTTCTTTTGCCTTCTTTTAACAGGAGGAAGTTTTTATGTGGTGGGGGTATTAGCCACACACACAACCTGGAAGACCAATAATCCCATTATATTTTTATACTACTTCATTTCACATTAACATGAAGAGCATACTCATCAACAGAGACCTGATTGACGCAATTGATAAAGACCTAGATATTCTAAACAGTGTGTTTACTAGCATTGAAATCTGATATTTCTTATATGATCTACAGAGCAAACACACCAGTATGGAAATCAACCTTTCTCTAAGGCAGAAAAAAATTTTACCTCAGCAAATCAAGGGGAAGATAATGCTTAAACTTTTTTTTTCCTGTAACTGGCTAATGCATTACAAGTTTATTTTTGATGGTAGACACATTAAAATAATCGAGAATATTGATATTCTCGGTTGCTTACATGACAATAACAATTAATAAAAATAGCCTTATACCTTGAAAGCAAAAAGCTTGATTCTCTAGCCTCTCTCATAGCTAAAGAATATCTGGCACTTCCACAGCCTCCTAACTCAGAATCTTGCTTCTACAAATTTTCATGTCTTTATCAAAATGAAAGCTCTTCTAAAGAGTCAGATTCAAATTAGTTGTGATTTGAGATGTTGCATACAATTAACATTTAAATTTATCAGTTGCTGTTAGAAGTAGATTTCAAATTCTTATTATAAACTGGCAAAATAATTATTTAAATTATTTTAGAACAAAAATCTATAAATAAAATTGCAAACATACTGAACCTAAACCAATATTTAAAATGGGTTCCAAGCAGTTTGTACAGACAAGATTTAGAACTCATTTTTACAAATGGCTCATAAATTTTGTTGCCATATGTATTAATAATTTGTTTTCTTTTAAATATCTGTAATTTGAGCTTATCATTTGTTTTCTTTTAAATTTGTTTAAAATTTGTATTATTTGTAAAATTTGTATGCCATATGTATTAATAATTTGTTTTCTTTTAAATATCTGTAATTTGAGCTTATCATTAACATTGATATTTTATAGTTATATTTTATGGCAGAATGATGTTTCACTATCTAAATTTACTTATTCTAAATTTTTGTTCTTGGATCTGAAATTTATATTTTTCTGTTGTTAATTTCAATAGAACAACCTTGATTCTGAAAGTTGTATTTTTATTGTTTTTTGTTCACAAGGTTTACTAGTATATCCGAAATAAAGAACTCTGAGAAATGCTCTCTATTTTTTTGAAGAAGAAGAATCTATTGATTAAATAAAAATTTTTAAGTGAAAAATAATAATGCATATAGTAAATAAGATAAATATTAAAATAATGTATTTTCATAAATATAAATTACTAGCAGATGAGCCCGGCATTGCTCGGGCAAAAAGTAACAATACAAGATTAAGATTATTAGATTATAGCCAATTTTACCCATTTTTACAGAGTGCAAGAATAAGGTTCACCCTCTTCTGAGACTAATTAGAGAATTTTTAGATGGGTCTAAAAATATGTTTGATTTTCTGCAAAAATCTGCATCTAAAATAGTACAGTAAAATCCAAATTCAGGGTAAAGCTTAGTTCACACTGAGCGCGATTCGCTGGCGAAAGCGAAAAACAGAGCGAATAACCGGTGAAACATGACTCGTTTGACGGGTTATTCGCTCTGTTTTTCGCTTTCGCCAGCGAATTGCGCTCAGTGTGAACTAAGCTTAATCCTTAACCTCATCCCCCCCGCATGTACTGTACATGAAGAAGGGATTTAGGAAAATCCCTTTTTAGTGTACATTCTCATGACGTACCCTAACTGTGTATCAAATTTCAACTTTCAACTCCTAACTACTGTGCTCTGTGCTTAATATAATAATATAATATAATCGAGATGGGTTGATTATTATTAAGATTAGAGTCAAATTTATGAGAAATTTGTTTTCATTATTCTATTTATCAGATATCTAATAGAAAAAAATGATTAAAATTCAATAATGATTTTAACTGAATAAATCTTTAGTATTTAAAAAGATTTTTTATTTAAGTAACCTAAAAAATAAAAAATAGCCTATAAAATAAAACATCAGAAAATTTTTCATTATAATGGAGAATAACTTACTTGATGATAACCTTACTTGAATAAAATTATTAATTTTAAATTCTAAAATCTAAATAAACTTGTTTGAAACATTATTTTAGATTTATTGTTTTTGGATTACCCGAAAGGGGGAAATGATTAAAATATTTATTAATTGCCAAAATGTATACTACATGTGCCACTGTTTATTTTCCTTCTTTATTATTTACACTTTATGCTGACTAAAACTAATTCTCTTCTCCTCTTCCCTTGGGGTGGAATTTCCAAAAATCCTTACTTAATATTATAAATATAACATACATGATACAAATTATGTAACAATATATAATCTTATTTAGAAAAACTATATATGCTTATTGAATATATTAATTTCTCATGGTATTCAATCATTAAAAATATATTTGATATTCTATATTTTATCATTCATAATCAGATTTTAAAAATTATCTTAAAAATATTTTAATATATATTTACAGGTCTAGCTGGAACTAGTATGTTTGGAAACAGAGACCTAAGTGCTAGCAGTCTTGCTGGATTAAGTTCTGCAGCTCAAGATCCGTGGTCTCGTTTACATAGAGCACCTCCAACATTTCCGACTCCGGTGGCACCGGGTTCAACTGCACCCTGGGGAGGTTTAAAAGCCGAAGCAGAAAGGGAACGTGAAAGGATGCAGCGGGAAGAACAAGAAAGAGAAAAAGAACGTGAGAGAGAGAAACAAAGGAAAGGTGAAATGGATAAAGAAAGAAGAGAAAAGGATAGTGATAAAATTAAAGATATAGGAAGGTAAGGGTTTTATTTTTGAATATTAGACATTCTTATTACAGTAAAATTTTCACTCTGATATTGTTTATTTTAAGCAGAATAAGTTATAAAGTTTAATGCATTTTTAAAAAATAATTAAATCAGTAAAACTTTACATCACAAACCTATAAATATAGTTTTAATCTCTCAACTACAGAAATTAGTTTTTCTAATCTAAAATCATAAAAATGCTTTATAATTTTATGTGAATAAGATATCTGTATATAATGCAAGCATTTTTTACAATCAATATATTGCATAAATTTTAGGCTCTACACTTTTAAGATAGTTTTATGTAATAGTATTATTTTTGGGGAGAAAATGTTTTTAATTTGCTTTAAATTTTAGTAAAAATTCTCCATAATATTTATCCTAAAGATTAATATTAATGTCCATTTCTTTTAATAGTAGTACATATTGTATTTTATGATATGAATTTATGCCAATAAGTATAATCTGCACTTGAAAGGATAAAAAATAAAATAACTTAATCAATTCCTATATTCAAAGAAAACAATTTATTTTTATTTTTAAAATTTTGATCTAGTGTTAAATTTATTTTTTTTCTAATTGCTTTATTACAAAACAACATTTATTGTAATTAAGCAGAGCTCTGCCTAAGTCAGAAAATGTTTTGTTTGTGATCAAAGTTTAAAGCAACTATGTGGTCACTAAACATGATTTTTTGTAAATATGCACAACTTAGCAAGGACAATGTTGTGACAAAGTCAGAATTTTGAAATTCGACCTACAGGCCGAAATAATCGAAGTCAAAGTTTGCCATGTAAAGTCTACAAACCGATTGCCAGTTTTATGCTATGTGTCAGTTGAGTTTTCAATTGCTATCAGTTTCCATTGATCTCTACAACAATACAATTTATTTTAGAATTAGATTACTTTTAGTATTCTATGTTGCAGAGCTCAATTTCATTTTCCTAAAAATACATAGTTTATTTTAAATATATTATGAAACACAAGTACTTTTTTCAATAAAACACTTAAAGATTTATTTTTTATTTTTTTTTTGTTCTTTTAATCATGCATTTTGTTTTTTTTTTCATATTAAAATGAGCTTACATCTTGAGCTTACATCTTCTTAAAAGCAGTTTTAGACTGAATTTTTTAAGCTTTGTCAATGTTTATCACTTTGAATAATAGTTTTCTTATTAATAATTAAATTCGAAACAAAATTGTTTAATATTACTTTGAATTTAAAGAAATGTATATTTTTTACATGATAAATTATTTTTACTTATTCAGGGATAAAAGGGAGCAAGAGAGGCAAAAAGAAAGGTATGTCTGTTTTATATACTGTAGATTAAATAAAAGCAATGATAATTTTTAAAAATAATTTGTATTTTTTCTTCTTAACAAAATTATATTTTTGACATAATATCAGCTAATAAATAGTTTTGTTTTCAATAGTTATAAACTATTTAGTAGTTGACAATACTTTATATCATGAATTAATAAACTGATATTGTTAGATATTGTTATGAATTACAAATAATCTATAACAAATCATCAATTATTAAGTTATTCTTATAAGTGGAATTCTTATGTTAGAATAATAAATATTTTTAAAATGTCATTGATCTTTTTTCATATGAGAGAGTTTCGTGAGAGAGGAAAAACAGATGAAAATGGTTTGGTGGTTTTTAATTAACTAATTAATCATATACAATTATATAAAAAGGAGAAGCATTAATATAGAATATCATTAGGATTACCGTTATTAATTTATTAAGAGATGGATAAAATTGAATTTTTAAAAAATTAATTGTTTTCAATTTGAATACTCTTTTATACTGTAATAAAAGATAACTTATAAGAGTATAAAAGAAATGGATTTATCTTCAAGTGAACTAAACAGTAGTAAAACTCCTTGGAGCTTTTACTACTCAAGTCATTCTGTGAATTTATAACTATTTCTTTCTTAAAAATTTGTGGCTGTTAATAGTATTAATAAACAGTAAAAATAACTTGTAAAGAAAAAATCTATAAATATTTAAGTTTTTGTATTTTATGTACAAAATGCACAAAAATCAACAGTTGCTCATCTTCAATCAGTAGATAATATAATTTTAAATATTTTTACAATTTGAAACATTTGGGTTAGGTATATAGTAGAACCCAGATTATCCAAGGCAGGATTTTCGAGAGGGAAGAGGAATTAGTGATTTTTCCCTGGGCTCAGAGTAAACTTAGTGGTCTATAGTGATTTCTACCCTTATAAAGTTAATGTTATTTTTACTAATAGAAAATAACATTTTTAAGACTACTTTTTATTAATAAAGAAACACACTATATATATCAGGGTTAAAGGGGATAACATAAATTCACTAAGAGGCAAATGAAGGCCCACTATATATCTGAGCACCCATACATGTTCTCAATCTGAGGTATAATGTGGTATCCTTGATAACTTAAATAATACAGATGATCAGAATCATTTTGGATTAAAAATCAAATATAAATGATTTATACTCTATATCTTTTTATACCTTAGTGAATTTAATCGTGTATTAAAACATAACAATAATATACAAATGATTTGTCTCACATTGAAGTTAAATTATAAAAGGTAAAAGAAATAAATTATTTTATAATGTGTGCTATCATTTTAAGTTTTCTTTTATGAATTACATTATAAAAATAGTGTATTCACTTAAATATTTGCCTTGGATAATTGGGGTTCTACTGTATATAAAGTTTTAGAAGTTTTGAAGTATTTCACGAAACGTTTTGCTTTCATTATTATTTTTTCAAATTTTTTAATAGCAGCATGTTTTCATAATTGTAAAGGTCATTTCAACTACATACCATTACATTTCTAAAACCCTGGACAAACCAAAACCAATAATAGCTACATAAAAGTAGTTATTAAGATTAGCAATTGTTTTATTTCTGTTGAGATAATCCGTGTGTAGTTATCCATAGATTTCCATTTTGATGATGTAGACATAAGCAACAATTTGCCATGTTTTAAATAAAAGGGTTTAAAATGCAGTTTCTACATTGTCTCATATTCATTAAATTTAATTTTATTTTTCTTTCTTTTTCATTTAGTCAAATTTATAACAGTATAGTCATCTATCTTATAACAACATTACTTAGAATGTTATGCCTATTCCATAGTTCCCAAATCAATGATATCATCTCAGAATGCTCCATTTTTAATTATGGTTTTTGATGTGTAGTATATATGATATATTATAGAACTTTTGATAATATGACCATAGTTAACAATAATGACTATTAGTGGATAATATGTTCTGAGTATAAGTTATGTTCTGCTTAGGGCCATTGGACTTACAAATCTGTCACTGTTATCTAATGATAGATAAGTTTAATCCCAAAAATAGCAACTTTATGGACCCCATTCTGGTATATTCCTATATCCCAATATTTATATAGACAAATGCCAGTATTAGATTATGTTTTTTTGCATTTGATATATGACATAATTTGAATTGTTACATCAGATTTTTTGCAGATATAAAACTCATTTTATGCATTAGTGTGAGATTTTTATCATGTGGTGTTTAAATTAAAACATTTTTTTGCTTGTTGCATATAAATGCAACAAAAGTATTGCACTTATTTTAATACATAATATTCAAGATATATTAAATCTAACATCTATATCTTTGTGTATTATTATTAATATCAAAGAATAATTTTATAGAAGACAATATTTTGTTGATCTGATTTAGATATGTAAATTTATACATCTTGAAACTATTATATATATTTATCTGTAAATATTCTATATTAATTGAATAGCAATGCTAATGATGTTGCTTTATCAACTAACATAAGCCTAGAGTTTTAAGTAAGCTTTTCTCTGGCTGACAATTAATCAATTTTGATGAATCAATTGCTATTTGATCATGTTATCTTTGAATTTAGTCAAACCAAGCAATTGAATTTGAAACCTGACATGTTATATCATGGTTATATAGCATTATCTACATCATCAAATACATTAATTAACAATATTACTTAAAACATTAATGTTAAATTTGATATTGTGATATCCCTAATTGTTTTAAGTAATGTTGTTGTTCATGAAGAATTTCTGAATTGGCATATTAGTATTTCAGTTACTTTGAATGCGTCATACTGCAGTTTGTCAAGAGACCTTATTATACACTAAGACCTCGTTTAGCACTTAGGATGTGTTCTTAGACAGCAAAGCACTAAATGAAACAGTGTTAAACAAGGTCATTTTAACACAGAAAATAGGGAAAGGGGAACACACGACCTAACAAACAAAACTATATAAAAACTCACAACTCACCACACTTATATATCAAACACGTACACTGAACCAATATAATGTGTGGTACGAACGACGAAACAAAAACAAAATGTTCGATCTTAAGAAAATTATTTTAAGATCTTTCTTAATTTTAAGAAAATTAAAAGAAATGTTCGATCTTAAGAAAGAAATTATTTAAACAACATTCGTTAATGTCTTTCGTTGACGGCAGTCGTTAGTTTGAACGGCATGCGCGACACATCTTTTAAGAACTGTTCGATCGCAAGAACGAAGTTATTTGAAATATCGAATTTACGAGCTAAAAAGCTAAAGGAACCTGAGGAAGAACCTAGAAGAGGTTCGAAAACGTTTGTTTTTGTTTCGTCGTTCGTACCACACATTATATTGGTTCAGTGTACGTGTTTGATATAT